CTGCAAGGGAGGCTCCGCTTTAAAACAATCGTTACAAGGACTGAGTTAATAAGGTTGAATTTGCAAAGCGCGAAGCATTACTACAATTCATCAAAAGATTCGTCACGTGTGTAAAACTGGTGTAGATAAATTCCGCACTCTCAATCTGGTACTCTGAAAATTCCCACATGCTTGACAAATTTTAAGATACGGAAGGAAATTGTATCAATTGTAACATATCTCCTACTTTTAGGACTGTACGTTGTGGCCCGATAATGCATTTGTTTAGGGAGGAATATTGTACACAAAATAATTGCCTTTGTAATTATCCAAATGTTGCCGTCAGAGGAATACCATATCCATATATGCATCACAACGGTTCAGAATGAACAAAGGATTCAACGCTACCATAGTTCTATCCTGTACTTGCTTTTACTTGTCCTCAAAAATATTGGTTACTTGGAAATTAGCACCAGAAAACCGATGCGTTTCCGTGTACATGGTACCACACACACACACACACACACACACACACACACACACACACACACACACACACACACACACACACACACACACACACACACACACACACACACACACACACATACACATACACATACACAACATACACACACACACACACACACACAGACCGGCTTAAACTTACTTACAATTGCCCTTGAAATTGAACTTGCACTTGCACATGGATACAAGTATATAAGTATACATACACACACACACACACACACACACACACACACACACACACACACACACACACACACACACACACACACACATATATATATATATATATATATATATATATATATATATATATATATATATATATATATATATATATATATATATATATATATATATATATATATATATATATATATATATATATATATATATAATGTACACACACACACACACACACACAGGTGTACACGAATGGAAATTTTGGTATATCTCGCCCTACAGCAGTTGTAGTACATCCCAATTGTCGAGTTAGCTCACGTTACCAGCCAAAGTCCGACCCCGACTAACATTCAATTTTTCCTTTGCTCTTTCTTAGACTAAAATTGCCCAGAACATTGATTCGGGTCAATGGCAACTACATAAACTACAGTTCCTGAATTTAAAAAAATCCTATACTGCATTATAAATACAACTAATTTGCATGGTGATGATACAGCCCAATGACAGCACAATGGCTAAGGCAACCCCTACGCAACTGGTAACAGTTATAGCAATACTCTTCTATTCATTCACATGCTATCTTTAATGTTATCATTGCAATTATCATATTCATGATTCTCATACGCATCTTATTACAACTGCTATTGTCATTACCGTAATTTTAAAAGTATTGGGAAGAATAATGAATAATAAAGCTGTAGTAATAATGATGTCTAATAACAATAACCCTAACAATACCAATCACTGAAATATTGATAGCACAAATAATAGCAAACAATAATTGATTTGTAATAATGATAATGATAAATACAATCAGTGCTGTATAAATATGCAAAAAAATTGTAATAGCGATAACAATTACATTGACACAGTAACAAGAGCGATAGTAAAAATGTATTCATGATAGGAATTTTTATTCTGTTATGCCCTTTTCCCTGCAACAGCACCTAGGTTTGTGTCACAGACATAACAGGAGCTCGCAGCAACTGTGGTCCGAGACTGTACCTTTCCACGACTCAGTGAATGTGAACCAATGTAAGTGATTACCCAGTAATGCAATTACCCTGCTCTATAGAAGTAGCTGTTGCAAAAGAGCTCTGAATGTTGACGTAGAGTGCGGTCACATGTCTTAGAATGGTCATCCTATATGTTCACTATTTTAATGTCTTTACTAAAATCTACAATCAACTACTTCCCGTCTGTCTTCTCCAATCTGCCTCCTATCCGCTTCATTGACCTAGCCTGTTACTTCTCTCCTTTCCCATGTGGGCTGGGTGGTAACTGGTCTGTACTACGACTTTGTGTGCAAGACTGTATATACACGCACACACAGATATACACACAAGCAATACATATACACATCCAGACCATACACAATTATTGATGCGCGTTCTCCAACACAAACAAACAAGGTCATTGAAACTACGTGCATATTTACATCAATTTCAATAACATGAAATTTTTAAGTGGAAATTTCACCCACCAATATCTTAGCTAAAATGTTTTTTCACCAGATTATTTCCTATAAATCACTGAGAGCGTCTCTTCGCTTTCCTTTATAGATTATCTTAGACGTATACGTACTTTACATACCAGTTCACAAAACAATGGTCAAGAAAAATGTTTGATCTTAGTTCTCCATTCCCTTGTACTGTTCAAATTTGGATATTTGCCTCTAAGCAAACATGCTGTTTCAGAAGCCGTTTGTGTGCAAAGCGAGCTGGGCAGCGCTGACAAGAGTAAGGTCGTTTTTCAGTATGAGTTTTTACATGCCTATGAAGGCTGCTGTTATTGGCACAACGGAAGGAGCACAACGGGCAAGAATACGGCTTTTCTCCGGTGTGAATATGCATGTGGTCTTTAAGATGGATGTTCTGAATAAACTGTGCTGGGCATATATGACACTTAAAGGGCCTTTCGCCTGTATGAATTCGTAAGTGCTTCTTCAGGTCACATCTTTTTGAACAAATAAACGAACACCACTTGCAAGAATAAGGCTTTGGCTGAGGCATCAGCAACATGTGTTGACCTTCAATAGCTTGCTTGCTCCTATTCGCCAGGCTTTCACTCGTGCTATCGCGGTTGTAGAGATGTCGATGATCAAGAATATCCGCTGGATGGTAAGTCTTCTCAGGTACTGTTGCATCTTCTTCAACAAACATGTGAGACTCAGTATTCGTGGGCATCTGTAAAGAATGCCCTATTTTAGGAACCCCAAGTTCTTAAGCCATACTCTCATGCACAAAAGTTTTAAAATAAGATTTTTATCTATAATATTATCTGTATATCTATATGGACACAATAAAAAACGACAGAGCTCCCCTACTATCAACATCAATAAATACGTTTTAATACACAATTCACATCCTAGAATAATATAAAAAGTAATTCAGAGTTCACCATGATCACTCTTCAGGATTAACTACCAAATCGATATTCAAAGTTGAATAACATTACCATGTAATGCGAACACGACCAGGCAAGTTACTAATGCATTACCCCTTATAATCGTTTCTGTACCTAACTCCAATTTAAATATCCATAGAAAATGAAACATAAACCTATGGCAGGTACTAAATTACTTACAAAATATTCGAAGGAGCCATCGCTAGCACGCGGTGTATGTATATAAAGAGAAATAAAACACATGAAACTTGTTTCTGCTTTATTTCCTGAAATTTATCCATCTGTACAGCGTGAAAGAAACATCACTCCAGCATAAGGATATAGGAGAGCATGGGGGGGGGGGGAGGTAAGCCTGACACAGCTAAGTATTACAGGATATCAAGAAAGGGGACATTGCTTCCAAAGGAAAACAAATCAGCACTAGTAGCAACACGCGAAGGGTTAAGATAAATCTTGCATTATCCTACTTTGCCTGCTAATTCATTTGTACAGGAGCCTACTTGATTTCAGCTCTTCTGTAGAAATCTTTTCTTGGTTAACCCCTGCAAAAAAGAAAACATATAATCAATTTCCCTGTATACACACTACTTATCAACGAAAGATAATTAGCCTTTCTTTTATTGTCTCGCTATGTATTTTACCCGACTTAATGAACAAATATACATAGTGTATACTTACCCTCGCCATCATTGTGTATGTTAACCATGTGTCTCTTTAAACTGCTATTCTGGTTGGCCCGGAATGGGCAGCGTGGGCACACATACGGCTTTTCTCCTGTATGGGTCCTAACATGTTTCCGCATGTTGTTCATAAAGACGGAAGAATAAGTGCAAAAGGGGCACTGGTGCATTCTTTTAAATATATGGGTCCTCTTATTCCAGACAGCAACTTTGAGAGGAGATCCTTCCGCTCCGCTTCGTCTGAGCCACTGACCATCAGTTTCCAGCCCCACCTGTAGGGGAGCCTATCTTAGCCTACCATATGAGATTTTTCTTATGCTTATGCTTCTGATGATCCATATGGGACATCAGAATCATAATTGTAGATTTAACAGATAGGTACTGAAAATGCTCTGGTTTCGAACATATATATGTATGTATGTATGTATGTATGTATGTATGTATGTATGTATGTATGTATGTATGTATGCATGTACGTATGTATGTATGCATGTACGTATGTATGTATGCATGTATGTATGTATGTATGTATGTATGTATGTATGTATGTATGTATGTATGTATGTATGTATGTATGTATGTATGTATGTATGTATGTATGTATGTATGCATGTATGCATGTATGTATGTATGTATGTATGTATGTATGTATGTATGTATGTATGTATGTATGTATGTATGTATGTATGTATATTATATGTACATGTACATGTACATGTGTGTATATATATATGTGTGTGTGTGTATGTGTATGTGTATGTGTATGTGTATGTGTGTGTGTGTGTGTGTGTGTGTGTGTGTGTGTGTGTGTGTGTGTGTGTGTGTGTGTGTGTGTGTGTGTGTGTGTGTGTTTATATATATATATATATTATATATATATATATATATATATATATATATATATATATATATATATAATATCACACAACACACACACACACACACACACACAACACACACACACACACACACAACACACACACACACACACACACATACACACATATATATATACACACATGTACATGTACATATATATAATATATATATATATATATATATATATATATATATATATATATATATATATATATATATATATATATATTATATATATATATTATATATTATATATTATATATTATATATATATTATATATATATATATATATATATATATATATATATATTAATATATATTATATACATATTATATATACATAT